AATCAACTCTGTCTAATTTGTCTTCCTAATCAAGTATCTAGATTATGACCAGTTGAATGACAACCATTCACTGTGGTTCCATAAAGACCATGAATGGCAAACACCAACAATCTCAGTGGTCCCATTCATCACAATTCATCCATCAACATACTCTATCATTCAGTGACTGTGAATGCTAGTGTATACACAATGGTAATTTAGAGTAAAGTGTATACTTATTATCTAACATGTCGATGAAATGAATGAACCATTTTGTCAATGTAAAGATTCAAACAAACAATAGTAATTCAATTTAAACTTCATCACATTGCATAAACAGACGGCTATCAGGACTCAGTAACTGAGTGGATAACGTGATGGCGTTTTAAGCGAACGGTATTGGGTTCGAGTTCCAGAGTGAACATCAACAAGTCTTAGATTCAGGTACATCCAACTGACGAGTCCCGAATAGGAAGAAACGCGCGTCCTGGATTTCACCGCTAACCACTATCCATCATTGCTTACAATGCTTGTGAATTAAGGCTATATCGAGGCAATACATACAGTATGCATTTATGGCCAATAAGAGACTGATCAATTGCAGTCCTGAACGTTAATGGGAAGATTCAAACAAACAATACTAAGAGATTTTGTTAGTTGTCTAATTGTCAATCAAAACTATTCATATTACATTAAGTATTTCAATTCACATGACTGGATAATGGAGGTTTGGCACTGTCGGGATAGGAATCAAGTATATGGTTCTGCTAATCAGTGCAGTTTGTTGTTTTTGAAATTTCAATTTTGTGAAATGTATGAAACCATTTGATATATGATAATATTGTTTTATTCAGTGAGTACACTAATCACTTCACTATATGTCTACAAATCAAGATAGATTTGATGTGAGAAAATCAGTGTATCGGTAAACGGATGACCATCTATCCATCTTATAGTTGGTATCCATTTTTGCATGTTTACCTGACATTCATTAGGGCTACAATATCTAGTAAGGTCTCAATGTGTTGATTTTGTTACCGAACAACCCACTCAATGAAATCAACTTACACTCTTCATGGACATGATTGTGAATAATTCTTGAATAATTCTTGCCGCTTCATCAAATTAAACTAAAACATCAAAGGTCTATGCAATTCACAATCTTATACACTTAATCCACATGTTCATGTCTGTTGACCAATAGGGTTTGTAATGAACGTAAGCCAGTTTACTGTCTGAATGTTTTCCCAGTTTGTTTTTCACAATACCATACTGACGATTATCATGGGCTCAATGGTGACTAGTTTCAAGTGGAAATTTTGGAAGTTCTAGTTAGAATCTGTGGTCAATGAAATTCAATAGTGTTATGTTTGAGATAGTTACACACTGAAGAGAATGAAAACAGTTTTTTTCAATATCTTTAATTGATTGAAGTTGGATTTGCAGACGATTGGATTCTAGCACTGTGGTCTATAAGTAAAACATTCTCATTGCCGTCTGCGAGGTTGCAGTTTCATACTACTGAAAAGTCCTATAGTAAGACAAAGCAGTCGTCAATAAAAATTCAGTGCTTTCATGTTTTCAGGAGTTATCTTACATTGATTCGTGATTTTAATGGAATTCAACAATCTCCACATCTTCATGATTACAGTTACTTGGTAATTTAATGGTTAATTTGACCAATTAAGTCTTTCTAACAGATACAAGAGTCTACAATTTTTATGATCAAATTAAAGTATGATTTACAGTCTTGTTGTAGTGTGTGCTACTTATGTCGATAGGTATAAGTAGTATGTATTATCAGTCGAAAGTGAAATACCTGGTGATGAACGGTTAAGAAGATCAAGGAAAAGAGAACGAGAATAGAGATTAGTTGCTGTGGAAACGAAGGAACAATGAAGTCTGAGATGATTGACTGACCTATTGTAGATGAAGTATTTACTGTATGATTCTCAGATTTTATTATGACATTCTGTAATTTTGTATTCAAATACAATGGAGTTCTAGTGAGAAGCAGTAACCAGTGGAATTCAACCAGGTGTGTTAGGAGATATCAACTCGCTGAAGACATTGGTGAATGGTTGCTCAATTTCGTGGATTGGTTGAAGTTAGACATTAACACCGTTGAATCCAGGCTCAGTGGTCTATCGGTTAATTACTCGCGCGCGAGACTGGTGGGTCTTGAGTTCGAATCTCGCGGTAGCGGGATAGTGGATGCGCGCTGCCGTGTAGTCTCGTAATGGGACGAAACGACCGTCCAGTGCTTCCAGGTTTTCTATGGTGGTCTAGCTTCAATTGACTGATGATCTCAACTATATTCAAATACAATCAGTTATCCCCACTTATATTCTCGTTTACTAAACTATAATATAGAAAAGTGTATTTTGGTAGTTCGACTTGACATATAAATAGAATAATTACACATAATCCACTAAAACTGTAAAGCTTGTTACTAAGTTAACACTTGGAGAAGACATAATAATTATTCAATCTAAATGCACATGGTATTGTTTGGTTGAATCTTCCCATTGAAGTTTAGGATTGCAATTGATCAGTCTCTTATTGGCCATATATGCATCCTGTGCTGACTGCCTCGATATGGCCTTAATTAACAAGCATGATAAGCAAAGATGAATAGTGGCTAGCACTGGAATCCAGGACGCGTCTTCCGTTCTACTTGTGACTCGTCAGCTGTATGTACTTGCATTTCAGACTTGTTGATGTTCACTCTGAGACTTGAACCCAATACCGTTTGCTTCAAAAGCCATCGCGTATACCACTTAGCTACTGAGTCCTGTAGGTACATCTAGCTGACGAGACCCAAATAGGACGGAATGCGCGTCTCGTTTAAGTACTGACTGAATAGGTGAAATGATTATTGAATACAAAGAAATCACTGTATTGAAATAGTATAAAAAAATATTTGAATGTAAGGTTAATCATAGTGTAAGGAAACAAGAACACAAATAAGGGATAGCCAAATTCATTTTGGTAAAATGTGAATATCATACAATGAATACTTCATTTGTAAACACCTTCGCTTTCTCGTGGCGGGGGTGTTGTTCACGAAAGTGAGAGGATGGTGGTGGATACTGAAAGTCCATCTAGGGGAGTTGGAAAACCCTCATTCCAAACTAATGGTGCACATGGGCTGACTCCAGTATCCTGAGAGAACAAATGGTGTATGAATCAATCGTTGGTCACCGGCTACCATGAAACTGCATCTCCTCACGATGCTCCACTGTCTTGTGGATCAGACTTTTAAGTCAAAGGTTCCGTGTATGGTCTCCTAAGAAAACCACCTGCTTCAATTTGGGCACCTGGGCAGTATCACAGCCCTCACACAAATCAGATGAGATTTGTGCGGCGCATATGTATTCGGTGACCCTTTGTACCAATGTTTATCTGTTCAAATAAATAAATAATCATTTGTAAATCTACCACCAATTATCTGAAAACTTCATTGTTCCTTTATTCCTCATAACAATTACTCTCTGTTTCTGTTCTACCATGATTCGATCTTTGCAATTTTTTAGTGTCATGAATTTCACTTCTGATTGGTTATATATACTATCTATGTCGACATAAGTAGCGTACATCACAATATTACAAGTGAAGAGAGTTAACCTTAAACTATAGTTTCTAAGTATTGTGAGTCTATTGAAATGGAATCTTATGTGAATAATTCGATTTCTAGACAAATAGATAAATGGAATTATAGTTGATTTCGGGAAACCGCAATATGTATTTATCGATCAAATGAGTTGCTGAGGGTGAACAATAACATAAGAAGCTTGTGCTAACAAGTTGTATTGAAGAAACCCCTTTAAGTGACTTTAAACTATGTACCCTTTGTCAAGATGTTGTGTAGTTGGACTCAGTCGAAGAATACTTTAATTCATCTACGTTTCATGTTAGTTGGAATACATAACATGTCTGAGACGTTAAAACTTCAGCTATTAAAGAAATAACGTTCTTTAGAATTGAAGTGTTTACAAAAAACTAATTATTGATTAGTTATCAATGTTATGTTTATTTAGTATATGGTGTTGATGAAATTCGATGAATAAACATTCAGAAGGGGGTTTCGTGAAGATTTTAGTAATTTTTTTATAGTTGAGATCATGAGTCAATTGAAGCTAGACCACTATGGAAAACCTGTAAGCACCTGTTGACCGTTTCGTCCTATTGTGGGACTCCTAAGTAGTATGCATCCACGATCGCGCACTCGCGAGATTCGAACTCAGGGCCTACCAGTCTCGCCCCAGAGCACTTAACCGTTAGACCACTGAACCGGCCGGCATCCAACGGTGTTAATGTCTGTTGATCATTCTGTCATTATTCTGTTTATAACATAAGTGGATGTTATGAGTACTTCGTTCACTTAACTACTCATACCTACTCATTTCAAATAATTCACAAATGTTAATTGTAATGACCGCAGAGTTTCATAAACTGAACAATTACTCATGTTTCGCATACATTTCACAATTCTTTAATTTGCAATCTCTGAACCTTCTACTAAATAGCTCAACAAAACACACTGTCGATTTATAATGATCCGAGTTGACAGTTTAGTGATAAACAGGATTCAATAAAAAGCAATCATTGCACATGATTGATTAAACTAATATAATATATTACTCATAACTTTTACGGAGATGTCAACGTTCTCCAGGTGAAGAATGTGACGAAAGAGGTAGAGTGTTTCAATAAGAGTACCGAGAAATAACAAACAACAAATACATTCAGTGAATTTAACAATGTGTATTTTCGATTTTATTGAGAATAATAATTGTGTGTTTGCATAGATGTTCACATTGAATTATCAAGTAATCTGAATGAAACGTCAATCCACAGACGAATTTACAATGTTAAATATTTAGGAAATCTGAATAATGGAAACAGTGGAAATGGTTGTGATTCATCAACGGTAATGAAAGAATGTGTGTTGTGTATCTGTGTTTGGGTGTTCATGTAAGAGTAGGATAAGTTGGAGGATTAATTCTGGTTGTCAACGATTATGGTGATGAATAGGCCACCAACGTCTTACCATCACGATGTGAATCATCATAATCAACATCCACAACGAAATCAGATTTCCTATCCAAATGTATACCGATAGTCAATTCGTATAAGATTCCACCGATGACAGCACCAATATACGGTCCAACTATTGGTATCCAGAAGAAGTAATTTGCTCCATTGAATGCTTTGTTACCCCAACCTATACAGATGATATGAAATAGTGTGTAAGAAAGTGAGAATATATTTATAGATTACAAAATGAATGTGATATGTATTGATGGTTGAAATGAGGAGTTTACTGACCTGCTCGTGTGTGGTTCGAGACATGATGGGCAGTGATGAGAGATTTCTGACATTCCATATTCATCACATATATATGTAGATACATGTTTCTTATTTATAGATATACATGAATATGTTGATAACCGAACGATGCATTGAGAATGTAAATGAAGATAAATGATGTGTGAATTGATGATTGTCAGTGAAAGATCAACAATTTGTTGTCTATTCGTTGATGATGATGATAATGATGATGATGATGATGAAGTTGGTAATGCGCATCAATTTATGTTCAGTAGATGGCAACTAAAATGACATGACCACGTTCTATTTATTGGAAGCATGTAGAATAATCTAGACCAATGGAAGTTAACTATCTATGTTTCACGCTATTGTGTCATTGTATCAACAATTACGATAGCTGGTTAGAAGATGTTTTCGAATCATGTTAGAATCTCCTATTAGAAGTATGAGATCAACGTTATCCTTCTTCTTCTAATCGATTTCCACTCTCGTCTACAGTGACATTTGGTCACGAATTCTTACTACTCACATCACCACAATCCAATCAACACACTGTACTTCAATACCAATAAATTTTCTATTGGTTACTGACCCATATGAGATATAGCGAAACGTTCGATTGTATGGAAATGTGGCAAATTCATCGTGAACCTGTCAATCAACTTCCCACCACGAATGTTCCGTTTCATGTTTATAATCAGATTGACTATTTCTGGTTCATTGTAAGCTAGTAATTTGTGTATATGAATGACCACATCATTTCCTAATCTGAATAATATGAGATAATACTTAGTGTATGTGTGGTCGTCCACTATTCTAATTGACATACTGTGAATGGATGAGAATTGTGTGTGGTCAATGGGTAGTTCAGCGTATGTAGTAGTGTGATTGTTCAGTTGGACATTGTTGATGTGGTGGTTAGGCAGTCAGAAACTGCTTAACAATATTCAATTTGTGCAAGTATTACTTGACAATAGTATATTGTAATCGAATACTTTCTATTGATTTATCTACGATTTGTGATGGATGTGATGAAGAAACGAGTGAGTGAGCATCGTCATTCACCGATGATTTGTGAGTATTATGTTAATTTCGAAATGCTGAATAGTGAAGATTGTGTGTAATATTGAGCGAAGAGTGTTGAACTACATTAAATCGAACTGAATGGAATAGAATGGGACCTAACTGAAGTGAAGTGAACATACAAGACAATTTGAATAGTGAATAAACTCACACTATTTTTATTCTTCAATATTCGTACATTTGGTTTTAGTATTACTATTATTGGTATTGTTAGTGGCAATAGTATTGATAGTGATAGTGATAGTCGGTTCAACTACTTTCACAATCCATTTACATTGTATAAGAATATTTCTGAGTAGAAGAATGATTGATACACAATCTCGTACACGGATTTTCAATGACCTACTTCATTCCCGATTTCGACATAACACTAATTCGAGAATACCGATGTTATTGAAAATAGGTACATCATTGTAATACATTATGCACGTTTCCCTCGAGTGTGTCAGTGTTTTGTTGTCATTCAACATCAGTAGAGACGATTATTAGTGGTATAGACATATGTGCATATTATGTTTTAAAGATGTATTTTGACCGTAGTTGCGAACACGAACGACTCAGTCAGATGATCTACCAACTAAAGATAGAGCTTATCGCGATGACAATGAATGTGATTGATGGTCATCATCCAAATCATCATCATTGGTCAATTTGACGTTCACTCTCTTCCTACACATTGTGTATGATGTAATTGCATGAGATTTCTAATTTTCTGGTAGACTGAAACTGTCTCAATCTGTCAATCTCATAATCACTGAAATAAACTCATATCGTCAAATTTCATCGGATCAAAATTGTAAATCACAGTGTAGAGTGACTTGGAAACATTGTACATATTTTAAGTATGTAGTCACAATGCGACTAAAAATGACGAAGTGTGTTGGCCAATCAAATCACTGGATGCACATCATATTGTTTCACTGATCGAATCTACTTGGTGCAAACAACCATCATTCTTTCAATCAATATCTGCAAACTTGTGTCCGGATTTATACCTATTCGTCACTCAAAACGATAAAATATCTCCTCACTCTTTCACTACCTACTCAATTGACAACAATGTTTGAAATACGTATGGATGTTCAATATTTGATGATATTGAACTGTTCATATGTATGATAATGACAGTAATAACCAGTGATAACCTCAGTGTTGTTGAAACTCTCATCTACACTCATTTATTTTGGAAGTGACTAATCTACTCACCATTTTGAAAAATGTCCATATTTGTTGTGAAGTGTATGAGTACATTCCCAGTAAATCGAATTATCTCTCCAATTATCGATATTAACCAAGTCATGTTACTCTCAGAGTTGGCAAAATGTCCACAACTACATCGATCGATGGTGCAATGAGCAACACAATAATAAAACCACTTGTTTTAAAACGTTTATGAATGAATGTGGAAAATTTGAGTATGGACTATATCAGTGAACATTGTGGTGTTTTATTAATCTAATCACTTGATTTTGAAACCTAATAAATTACGATGGATTAGTTGTAAGAAGTGACTCATCATGACTACTGTCTTCAGTGAAATCAATGTGAAATAGAATTTCCTATTCCGATCAGATCAAGAGGCCAAAGCATCCTTTCAATGTAACCTTAATATTTACAAACATTCTACTAACAGACACTAACCACAATCTTTCCACTTACATCAACTTTGAGATATTTGAAGTATTTTGACGGAGGCATTCTATCCACACAATGAGAAGACATATTTTGACCACGTACATGTTGAGCTACTTAACCTGCCGATGCTTTGTAATAAGGTGTGAGAAACAATTTTACTCACTGTCAAGTATATGAATGGATGTTGTGACAGAATGAGAAGTATTATCATGAGAAATAATGATCTAGTGAAGTTGTCATCAGACCAATAAAATGTAATGTGAGTATGATGCTGTTGAGTAATTTAAGCAACCATGAACATCACATCTGACTCAATAATTCTCATTGATAATCAAAACCAGTTATGTTTGAGTGTAGACCGAAACACAACGGAGTCTACTGTCGAGTAGTCAGTGATTGAGACAGTCAATCAGTCAGCCCGTCAGTTATTCAGTCAGTCAATCGGCCCAACTATAAAATGATATCGTTTGAGTTTCATGTATGCTTTTGAAAGAAGTACAATGTGAGTCTACTTATACAACTAATAATGCATCAACTGGTGAAGAGTTCGTGCATTCTATCACTCGTTAGTGAGAATTGAGAGCAAACGAATAGTATGAATGAGAAATGGACAACTTACCGAATATAAATATCATGAGTCTGGGTCCTAAATCACGAGCTGGATTTAAAGCAGCTCCAGCATTCAACGCGAAACAGCCAACAATAGCATAGACCAGAAATGCCAAATGTAGTGGGTGTAAGTAATCTGGAATTTTCCATCCATTTGGATCGGTGATGGCGAACGCTCCTGCTGTCAACAACGCAGTACCCATAACCTGATCAAGAAAACATGTTAGATGAGATGCTGACGGATTGGTCACGAATATGCCACCTGTGGTGTTCAGCAACAACGCTCCATTGTCATTCAATTTGGCATATTCTAAGATTTTTTCACGATATAAGGCGAAGACAACTAATGAACCGAGGAAAGCACCAAGTATTTGAAAGAATGTATAAAACGGTATACGTCTGAATGGTAGTTTGCCGACGACTGCAGCTGCCAATGTTACAGCTGGATTACAGTGTCCAGAACCACATTGTCCTGAGAAGAATACTGCCATGTACACTGCGAAACCCCATCCCAAACTGACTGAAATGAATGTTCCATGAGCATGTTTGCCATGGTCACCTAGGATCACTTGTGCCAATACACCACTACCAAAGATCATCAAAATAATTGAACCGATGAATTCGCCTAAACATGCACGTATTAATGGACTTGAAGTCAATCGTAGACGATCAGCGACAATATGCTGTTTGTTGGCATATTTTTCAGAACACGAAACCATATTTCTTCTACGACTGGCTTTTCGATAATTGCGTGTTGATTGAATTGTTCCTGCCAGAATTATTTATCAATGGAGATTGTCTGCCTCTATTGTGTTCGGTCTTCTCCGTGACCGTTGATTATGTTGTTATGACTGTGTTTATTTCGATATTGAATGAACTATGAGTTGAGCAGGGAATATTCAGAATGAATGAGAGATTGTTTGTGGTTAATGTGTTTGAGATGTCTAAATGGGTAGCCTATACACATTGTATCCTTTATATTGTTTTTCTACTCTCTCTCACACACACTGTTAAATACACACATATATACGAGCACACTCACACTCACACACATTCACATGTGGATTCGTAATAATTAGTTTCTATGAAAGTATTCACAGAAAGCAACATACTTGACGTGTCAATCACAAGATTGATGGATTGATTTGCCTCCATGTATTTAATGCACGAGTGTATTCTTACTATATAATAGCAGCAATAATAGTAGTATTAGTAGTAGTAGTAATAGTAGTAGTAGTAGTAGTGGTAGTAGTATCGGTGAAAGTTTTTTCAATGTATGCAAGTAATAAACTCATGTCTGTGTGCTTGTTTGTTTTGTTTTCTGGTAAGAAGATGCTTACTCTCCTGTTTTTTAAATGGTAATATATGACTTACATGGTTACTGGTTATCGAGTAAGTCACTTTTAAAATCTGAACAATCTTGTTAACATGTTTCATGTGATCACACTCATTTCTATATACAATTCAACTTATTTACATTCAACTAATTAGATGTAAACATCGTTATATTCAATGAAATACACAGTAGTTAATCAGTAAGCACCGTTTTATCGAAATATTCCATCATGTGTGTTGATGAGTAATAGTGTAATGAACGAGAACAGATGAGGAGATAACCAAATGCATTCCAATTTAACACCAAAGAACCTTAATTAGTTGAGATCGTGAGTCAGTTGAAGCTAGAGTACGATAGTAAACCTGGAGGCGTTCGACGGAAGTTTTGTCCTATTGTGAGAGTTATCGACAGTGCGCAACCACGATCCCGGTGTAGCTTCTGACAGGTGAAAGTTAATGCTTCTTTCATCCTATTCCAGTTGTCCTACATTGTAGTTTCTTGTTCTTTCAGTAGATCCTTTAAGGGTTGGAACATGTTGTTGAGAGTTATTATGAAGTCATTGAGCTTGTCAGTAACTCGAAGGAAGGCTGTATTTAACCTATGTAATGCTGTTTCCCCAGTTGTCCAGCGTTTCTTTAGCATAAGGGTCATGTTTTCAGTTACTTCCATGTTTGACTTAAGTTCTGCGACTAGTATATTTTCAGGTCCCTCTACATTCCCACTGTTGATCTGTCTGATAGCAATCCCGATTTCTTCGATCGTTGGTAGAGCAACATCTATACGAAGATCTGTAGGTGCTACTTTGATAGCCGGTAGATTCAATGGGGCTGTCTATTCAAGATTTTTAAAAAATGCTCTACCCATCGTTTCCTCTGATTTTGAATTTCAGTGATTGTCTCTTCTTTGTCCTTGACCGGTCTCTTTGGTTTACTATACTTTCCAACTTGTTTCTTCGTTATGCCATATAGTTATTTCCTATTTCATTCTATAACAGCTTTTTCTTTTATCGTTGCTGAGTCTTTCACATATTTCCGCTGGTCGGCTCCGATGCTTGTCTCCACTTCCTTGTTTGCTTCAGTGTGTTCAGTTAGCTGCTTGACTTTCTCTGCTCTTGTTCGACTGTTGCCAATTGCTGTCTTCTTGTTCTTTTCTTCAATTTCGTTAGGAGTTTTTATAGAGATTAATTCTTCATGATGTTGCTTCTTACGGCTCAACACCTGGTGACACGTTGAAGCTGATGATTCATTGATCCCTTTCCAGTTTTTCTCTATCTTAGTTTCTTGCTCTTTAGGTAGATCCTGTAGAGCCTGGAACCTATTGTTTAGAGTTATCTTGAATCGTTCCAGTTTGTTAGTATCTCAAAGGATCAAAGGCTGTACTGAACGTTTGTAATGCTGTTTCTTCAGTTTTCCAGTGTTTCTTTAACTTCAGTTTCATCTTTGCAACCACCGTCAGGTGGTGATCTGAAGCTATGTCAGCTCCTCTCCTGATTCTCATATCTTCCATTGTCCTTTGGAATTTTTTGTTAATACAAATATGATCTATTTGGTTCTCTGTGGCGTGGTTCGGTGAGACTCACGTAGCTTTGTATGGGAATATTATGTCACTTATATTGAAAAATGGAAAGTCTATTTAATGGAACTACTACTATGATGCACTTGTAATATACAGTTTAAATTCAACGATGTAATTTAGAGGCAAAAGGATGGCATAGCATTCGGACCTCCTCTAGGTACATCACTGGCTTATTGCTTCATGCTCAGCCTAGAAAACAATCAACTTGAAACGACTATCGAGACATTCTACTTGTTAGAAAGTACATGGATGATATTTTTATCATTTGTGACAACAAATATAATTTAAGTCATCTTTTAAAGATATTTAATAACTGTCAAATAGCAATGAATTCTACACTTGAAGTTGAGAACTAACAAAATATCCACTTTCTTGATGTGGAAGTGACAAGATAACACGATGGAACTTTAAAAAAGACCTATCAATGGTAGACTCTTATTGAATAACCAAGTATCAAGGTTTGACGTTTGGGTCCCCCTTGGTCGAAAGCGACACCTAACAATATAATTTGCTACGTGAATATGAAATATTTTTCCAGTTTCGAGGTCGTGGATAACGAACTGATCCTCTTGAAGGAAATACTTATCGAAAACAGATATCCTTCGATATTTATTGACAAGAATATAAAACCCATTCTGTGTAAAGCCCAACTAACCTTGATCAAAAAGAATACTCTTTCCTTGAAAATCGATTGTAAGAGTGACACAGCTAAACATTTGCTAAATTAGGGAATTTTCAAGTTTTTGGAAAGAACGTTCTTCACAGTAACATTGCGAATATTGTTCTGTAGTCGATTGTTGTTCATCAATAATCTTCAAGAAATGTTATCTTATCTGACGAACGGCTAGATAATCGAGTATATATATGTATGATAACCATCGAAATGACAACTAAGTGTTGATTTGTAATTCTAACTAGTGATCATATAATAAAAGATGTATAAGTATTTCTTTTTAAAAATTTACAGAGTACTATTGTGAATCAATAGATGAAGGTGTCAGTTCCAAAGTGTAATATTCAAGTAACCATAAGTAATTTAAAATGCCAATATAATAATCTTTGAAATAAAATCCTGTTTTGTGGATATATGGATTATAAGGATCATATGCTCACTAGGGACTAGCTCCATGAGGTATTTCCTGCAGTTCTAATGAGAGGCAGAAGAAGAGGAATATAAGAATATACACAATCAACTCTTCGAATATCAAACATTATTTATTCATATGTGAATAGACTGATACTTACTTACTTACTTACTTACTTGTTTACGGTTTGTAAATTCCGACCAAAATGATTATACCATTCTGAACATCGATATTCATCAGTTATATATTGAACGACAATCGGCTTTGAATTCGTCTCATCCAAATGACGATCATCATGAGGATGATGATGATGCTTAATTATAATCTTTCCTATTCAATATTCAATTTCAATAATAGACAAATTATATTTATTATCATCATTATAAATGGAATACAAGTTGATTTCCCTCAAGGTTATTTTTAAATAATCAATATATCCTGTCTCAAGGTCAGTCAGTCAATCAGTTAGTTAGTTGCTTACACTTACTTAACAGATGGGAACAATGAACAAATACAGAAAAATTCTCCTTTTATATAAATCTATATATGATGTTGAAGAAACGACGGATATTCTAGTTTTACAACTAGCTACCAGTAGCACCTTCTATATTCGATCGTTCCCAGTCAAATAGAAACCAGAAGTCAGACGAGAAGAAACAGGAAAGATATATTTGATACATTACCAATATATCGAGAGACTTCGTTCTTAACTGGCTATTGTAACGTAGGAGCTGTGTCACACGCCGTGTTGCAACGTGATCTGATACGGATGCATGACCGAAAGCCTTCAGTTAAACAAGTCCACTTAAACAACGTGGTCAGCATCCAATGTCGAACACTTAATGAGCTATTGATTTTGGAGATTCCAGTATTTTTCAAAGTTGAAATCATGAGTCAATTGAAGCTAGACCACCATCGAAAACCTGGAAGCACTGGACGGCCGTTTCGTCCTACTATGGGACTCCTCAGTAGTGCGCACCCACGAACCCACTCTCGCGGGATTCGAACCCAGGACCTACCACTTTCGAGCCGAAGCCCTTAACCGATAGACCACTGAGCTGGCATCCAACTGTGTTAATGTCTAACTTCAACTGATCCACGAAGTTGAGCAACCATTCACCAATTGTCTTCAGTGAGTTGATATCTCACAACGAGTTCGTGGATGCGCAGTGCTGAGGAGTCCCATAGTAGGACGAAACGGCCGTCCAGTGTTTCCAGGTTTTCGATGGTGGTCTAGCTTCAATTGACTCATGATTTCAACTTTGAAAAATACTGAAATCTCCACAAATCCCCTTCTGAATCTTTATAAGGTCAAAATTAGATCTAATTAGAATACATAACATGAAACAATCTCATTTATTATATGGTCAGATGTTCAGGATCCAATCGATTCTCAAAACTGAACGAATAATCTGATTGTCAAAAGGTTTTACAATTATTTTAACAGTAAACAAGAGATTAGAGTTATCCTCAATTTGATCAACTTTAATTAGACCATTGAAATGTATATAGTAACATAGTGAATTAGCTTATTTACATTTAAGAAAAATAAACAAATCACAACACAATGTAAATACTGAAAAGGATTGTTTTCTAAGATACAATATGGAAGTCATTCAATGATTATTCACTAAATACATCTTTACTTTAAATCAGATATTCCAAATCATTGACCCTCTCTCTCTCTCACACACACACATACACCTTGCTTGGCTTATTCTCA